TTCTTAGGACCGTGAGGACTCCTCTTACAACTCCAACTGCAGAAATGTCCCCATGGTGAGAGCCAGGATGGGAGATGTAAATGCCTCCCAGACCTGACCTAGAGCAGGGAAGTGCGTGAAGGCTTTGCCTCCTTTCTTGCACCATAAGTGTTCTTTTAAAGTGTTTAATTACAGTGTTATGAAAATGTTCTTTCCACACTGATTTTAGAGGTCTTTCAAATTAGGGAAGCGCTGCCAGAGCTCTGACTGAGCCTGACCTTGGGTCCCACACCATATGGAGCTGTCTGTATTGCAGTGACTGGGGTGATGGCAAGGGAGAGAAGTCCTGCATTGTGAGATGGGGAGATGCCATCAGGTGGGGAGGGCACCTTACAGATGCTGTAGGACACAGTGACTGTGGGGAGGGGACCTTACAGATGCTGTAGGACATGGTGGCTGTGGGGAGGGGACCTTACAGATGCTGTAGGACACGGCGGCTCTGGTCCTTGTGGCTTTCTGCTGTGGGCTGAGCAAAGGGGGATGCTCCCTGCTCCCTTGTGCAGTAGGTTCCCAGTTCCAGAGCTGCCTCAAGAGCTGCTGTTGATTTGAGAACTGCAAATCATCCCCTTTTTGGGCCTTGAGAGAGGGTTTTCAAATTGCTGTGAGCAGCTCAGGGTGTGGAGATCGCCTCTATTTTATCTGCAGGGCAAGAAACATCTCCTCAGGCAAATGCTTTTGTGGGACCTGGCTCATTTGGACGGCAGTGCTCCCCCGGGGTGTGCGTGCTGGGTCTGAGTTGGGTGCCCAGCACCCTTCTCTCCATGTTCCTTCCCTTTGTATCCCTTCAGGCTCTTCCTGCCTAGGCTGAGGATGGAGGAAGATCAGATATGGTGGTTTTTGAATCATTAGGCAGTGAAGGAGCAGACGCTGCTGGATGGAGCTTATATAATACCAGGCACAGCATCCGACCCTGAGTACCAGGGCTGCAGTAACCCAGATACAGCCAAGGGAGGAGAAAAACCGCACGTAGGTGGGAATCTCTCCCAGGCTATTTGGTTGGAAGTAAATATTTACATGGCACCATATCCACCAGCAGGCAGGGCCTGGGGGAAAGCAGCCCAGGTCCCCCTTGTTAGGATGGGGATGAACCTTTAGCAGCTGAAATGGGAGCCCTCGCGCTTGCTGGGGTGAGGACCAGCCCTGGCAAAGTTTGGAGACCAAAGGGGGACTTGTCATGGAAGCTGGAAGCATGCTTGAGTGTCTTTGTTCAGCTTCCATGGCTTCTAAAATATAAGCAGCAAGGGAGAAAATAATCTGTCTTGCTGCAGAATCCAACAGACACCGGTGGTTCCTGCTGCTGGAGTTAATGGAGAAAAATTCCCGATGTTGCCCTCAATTGCCTGTGCCCGGATCAGGATGGTCCCGTGCAATCTGCTGGCGCTGGAATGAAGACAACTGGTGTTCAGAAGCTGCAAAGCAAACTTTTACAGCATGGCCATCGCCTTGCAACAGCTTTGCTTGCCTAAAATCTCTTTAATTTGGAGGATGGTGATTTCCTCCTGTCCTTCAAGTGTGGTTAAGACTGGAAAGCGAGTCCCCAGCTGCTTTCTGCCATAACCCAAGGAAGAGCTGACTGCCAGCAGAGAGTGGTCCCCATCTCTAGGGACATGGTTTAGTCAGGGATTTGTCAGTGTTGGGTTCATGATTGGACTCCGTGAGCTTAAAGCTCTTTTCCAATCCAATCAATCCAGGGATTCTGCGTTTGCCTTGCTGGGATGCGTGACGTGGCCAAGGAACCATTTTAATAGGAACTATTAACTTCTGGATTTCCTTTTCCTTGTTTGCTCAAGCTCTCGGGGTTGATGTTTACTCAACCGTTCTTGCTTTTAATAGTTTTGGTGGTGTTTGATGCTGTTGATAGGAGGCCTGCTTCCAGGGAGTTTGTTTTCTAAAGGAAGAAACTTGGGTGACTCTGTGTGTGTGTGTCCTGTGCTGGTGATTTGGGGATCACAAGTCACTCTCAGGGAAATGTGATCTTGAGGAACTTCCCCCCTGGTGGGCTTCAAGAAAACCAGTAGAAACCCAGTGGGTGATTCTCCACAGGAAAAGCTGCTCCATGTGCTTGCCTGCCTGCTCCTGTGCATCCCTGCTCATCCTCAGGATGCAGATGTGCTGGAGACCAGGCTGCCTTGTCCCCTCTGCTCCCGCATCCCTTGTTTATTCAGGCTGTGCTGGCAGCATCGTGCCGGGAGCCTCGTACGCCTGGTGCAAGCGCTGCCTCTCCGTTTGTTCTCCTCGCTCCTCAGGGCAGCCCTCCTGGCCAGGGGGACCTCTCAGATGCCAACTCCTGCCCTTCTGCTGCGGGGAAAAAGCACTTGCTGCTTAACAAAGGAAAACAAAGGAGCACTGAGAGTCTTGCTGTGCCCTCCCTGCTTCTCGGCTCACCCCGGGTTTGTGCTGGTGGTGGAGGATTTGCAGCACTCGCTGCGGTAGATGAGTCCCTGTTTGCAGCAGGGCCACCATGTCTGGGGACAAGCGGGTGGCAGCAGTAGGTCCCCAGGCAAGCGAGTGGCACCATCAACTGCTGTGCAAATACCAAAGCAGCCAGGAACAGGAGCCTGAAGGTTATTAATTATTATTATTATTATTATTACTATTATTGAGGCTATTATCAAGACTTACTCCCCTTCCCGCTGCCCCTGGATGTTCCTGTGGCCGGACATCCTCATCACTCAGCATCCTGCCACAGCCTCCCTCTTCCTCCAGAGGAGAAACTCAGGCACAGAGCTGGGATCAGGCTGGATCACTCCTGCCTGGCATCACCCCCATGACGAAAGCTTTTCTTCCCATTAATCACCCTCACCCCGACGTGGGATGCCAGCCTGGCACTCAGAGCAGGATCCCAGCAGGATCCCAGCAACAGATTGGTACCAATGAGCTTTCGAGTGCTCTAAAAATACTGAGCAGAGAAAGTGGGGAGCGAAAAGTGGCTGAGATTCAGCTGAATCAAAGGCATAATTAACATGCAACCCATGTGAGTATATTTTTAGGGCCCTACAAAAAGCCTCTAAAACACTGAATTCGCATCAGCATGGTGAATATTCTGGTTTAATGGGATCCTGGGGCCTGTGGGGAAGAAGTGAAAGATGCTTAATTGTCAACGTTTGTGTTTTATTCATGATTGAACATACTGAGCGAGCAAAAAACTGATTTGCTGCAGGCTCCTTGCTGCTTGTGTGGCTTTAAACCTTATTCCAGCCAGGGCTGGTCTGTGCTGAGACAGGCAATTGCCTGGTGTGCTGGAAGGGCTGGTTGTTCCCGGTGTTTGCGTGAGCTCTACTAGGAAAAGGGATTATTGCCTCTGCTCTCATGGGGAGCTGCCTGCCAGGGCTGCCTTGAGGTGCTCAGCACTTGTGTGGGGTCTGGGGGGATTTGAGACAGGAGAAAAATCCCATGGGGGTAAATCAGGAACCACATCCAGCCTGGGTGGTCCCTGAATGGAGGTGACTGGACATTGGGAGAGCACTGGGAGAAAGCTGGGATGCTTCCCATCTCCTCCCAGCTTCCCCTCATGCCCGAAGCTGAGGGCTGTGGAGTGGTTTGCTTGGAGATCAGCACTGCTGTGGCAAAGCTGAGGTAGAAACCAGATTCCTTCCACTATCACTTTGGTGCCCGAGTCCTGCCAGAGCTTTGGCACGAAACGGCACAGCCGGACCCGCATGGAGCCTTGGGTGTGATGAATCCTCCAGCCTCTGCAGTGCTGGGCTCACCCACGAGCACCTGCAGCTCTGGTAGCAATTTGAGGTCTAATCCTGCCCTTGGGGAGCTGTGCGTGGCCGTGCCCACGGCCGAGAGCTGACTGACTCACTGCCCATCCTTGTGGAACCGACCGCTTTTCCCATCAGAGCCGGATTCGTGCGGCGTTTTCCCCGCTCGGCTGCACAGGTGGAGGAGGGAGGGATGAGCCGGCACCGCAGCGCAGATGTGGTCCCTGCACGCTCGGCTGGGGGATATGGGGGGGCTCACCGTGGTGCAGAGCAGCTTTGGATCATCAGAGGGATGGTGGCTCGGGGTTTTTTTTAATAATCTGTTGTGAAACGATGTGCAGATGGCACAGCCACCCAGCCGGAAGGAACGGAGGAACACGGGATGCCAAGGCAGGGTTCCTTATTTTAAACCCCTTCCCTTGCCAAGGAACAAATGTGCCACACTTCAAAATAATAATTATAAAACCTGGGAGAGGATCCAGGGAACCCAAAATCCTTCTGCGGGTATCGGTGCGTTGGCTGAAGCGCTGCTTCAGTTGGCATCGTGCTGCCTGCCCGACGGGGTGGGCAGATGCCCACTTTGCCAGGGCTGTGTTTGGTGGATGGATGTCATCCCAGCAGGTCATGGCTGGCTTGGAGACCTGCATTTGGGGTCGTGCTGTGATTCAAAAAGGGAAAAAAAATGAATTCCATCATACCTGTACCCCAAGAAATAGCCCTGCACCACGAGGATATATCCTGCCCTGCGCTGCTGCCTCCTGCCAGAGCCTGGCACGCTGGCTGTGCTGGTGCTGGGTGGGCAGGCTGCCGTCTGACGGGAGGTAAATGCCAGTGCCTACGTGTGCCTGGGATTAGTAGCTGCGATGGGAAGAGCTGGAGCCAGCACCAGCTTGTGTTGTGAGAACTGCCTGTGCCACAGACGGGTGTCACGGGGGTCTGGGGGTCCCCTGAGAGACCCTGGGGTGCCCAGAAGGTGGCTGCTGCCCGTTGAGCTGGGACTGGCTGTTATTTTCTGGCCTGTGATCAAGTGATGCCAGGGTATGTGGGCCTGGCAAAGCTCCAGTTTACACCTTGGGAGAGTGAGGAAGCCCCTTCTTAGGAGGGGAAACTGAGGCACACAAAGAGCAAATGATCCTGAAGAGTGCAGGGAGGGCTGGGAACTAGTGCCCAGCTCCCACAGGATTGTCCTCCTGCAGAGAGCATCCTCCAATCTCATAACCCACCTGTGTCTTGCTCTGTCCTCCTCCATTCCAGGCTTCCACGTGATCCCTTCAGTGTCCAGCATCGTTCCCGAGAGCTGCCTGCTCATTGTGGTTGGCCTTTTGGTCGGAGGGCTCATCAAAGGGGTGGGTGAAAAGCCCCCCATCCTCAAATCAGACATTTTCTTCCTCTTCCTCCTCCCACCCATCATCTTGGATGCTGGCTATTTCCTTCCTTTGCGCCAATTCACTGAGAACCTGGGCACCATCCTCATCTTCGCCGTGGTGGGGACACTCTGGAATGCCTTCTTCTTGGGTGGCCTGATGTACGCCGTGTGCCAGCTCGGTGGCCCTGGCTTGAACCACATTGGCCTCCTGGCCAACCTGCTCTTCGGCAGCATCATCTCAGCCGTGGACCCGGTGGCCGTGCTGGCTGTCTTTGAGGAGATCCACATCAACGAGCTGCTCCACATCTTGGTCTTCGGCGAGTCCCTTCTGAACGACGCCGTCACGGTCGTAAGTGATGACGGGAATTAGCCAAGGGGATGGGGTTCACTTTGGTGGAGCATCTCTGGGTGGTGGCACCAGGATTGGCAGTTATCAATCAAGCCCTGTGGGCAGAACCATAGACTGGCCCGTGGCAAGCTGCCAGGTACCTCCTGCCAGCTGAACTGCGGCAGCTCCGCTTTGCTCCTCACCTTCTCCAGGTGCAAAGCTAAATATAGTGGCTTAAAACACCGCAGAGGTGGGTTAAGGTGAAGTATTTTACTTGGCACCTCGGAGAGTCTGAGACCACGTGCCCAGCCAGCTGCCACCTCTCAGTGAGGAGCAGGGCTGTGCCCAGCGCCTGGGAATCTGCTCTCCTGGGTGAAATTGCCTGCTGCCATGCTCATCCCTGGGAAAGCGAGACAGGGAGTGGAGGGGCTGGTGCTGGGTCAGGCAGTGCTGCCATGTACCTGCTGCTCCCTCCTGTCTCCTTCTTCGTGTGGTCTTCTTTGCTGTCCTCCAGCTGTAGCACCAAGGAGGTGGGAGGACAGGACATGGCCAGCCATGGCAAGGGGAGAGCCGTGGGGGCTGTGGCCAGGCTGGCATCCCATCCAGGTCACCCCTCAGCCCCAGTCTTTGAGCAGCAGTGACCTTTGGGAGGTTCAGGAGCCAGGCCACCCTGCTCTGGGGCCGTGTCGTTCCCAAAGGACATCTGTGTCCAGGTGCTGACTTGGCTGCCAGTGCAGTGTCCTCCTCTCTGCAGAGCTGACCTCTACGTTTACTTTCAACCCCCTGCTTTTTCCTGGCTCTTCTCCCATATCCCAGCTGTCCGCTTCAGAGCTGCCTGCTCAGCGCGCTGCAGGGGCTGACAAGGAACGTCCTGTCCCACCACAGGGCTTTTCCCAGGAGCTTCTCCCTGCTTTTAACCAGGGTCTGTCCCCCTGCTCCCATCCCTGGGGAATGCTTTTGCCTTCTGCTGTCACATCTGTCCCTGCCCATGTCCCAGGACCTGTTCCTGGCAGGCAGGAGCTGGTACCTCACGCTCTGACTGCTCACAAGCTCTGCCATCCTTGCAGGATGCCCTGAAGCCCATTTCCCATCCTGACATGGCCACATCAGCTTCTGCTGTAAAATCTCTCTGGTAAATGTGACTGGAGGTGGGAGAGGTGACACAGCCTGGGGTGGGCTCCTCCTGTGAGGTTACTCTTTTAGCTACAAAGATGCATGAGGGGCTTGGGCTGTTCCCTGGGCTGTTCCCTGGGCTGAGTAAGGGCAGGTGTTGGCTTTTCTCTCCATGTGGCTGTTGGGTGTCCCCCAGCCTGGATCTGTCCTGACCTGCTCCTTGGGAAGCAGGAACAGTCTCTGGCTGGTTCAGCCCTTGACTGAAACACTTCCTGGGACAGAGGTTGGGGCTGTTTTGTGAGCAGAGCTGCCCCAGACACATCTCCAATGGCACCATGTCCCTGGGAGGACAGGGAGCTGGTCCCCTCGGGTCTGCATCTCGCACAGCAAAGCACCACCAGCTTCTTTTGGCACGTGGCTTGGTCAGGCATAGGACCCAGCTCAGGGTCACCAAGCACTGGCCCACCTCATCTCAAGTGTGCCGGGCTGGGGACCTGCCTGGCTCCCTTTGCTGCTGCTCCCTGGGGACGGTCCCCAAGCAGATCTCCTCCAAGGTGAGGCTGTCTCTTGTCAGGGGGACAGTTTGAACCCTCCTCTCCATTCTCCCTCCCAGGTCCTCTACCACCTCTTTGAGGAGTTTGCCAACTTCGAGCAGGTGACCATTATTGATATCATCCTCGGCTTCCTCAGCTTCTTCGTGGTGTCACTGGGTGGTGTCTTCGTGGGTGTAATTTATGGAGTGATCGCTGCCTTCACCTCCCGCTTCACCTCCCACATCCGTGTCATCGAGCCCCTCTTCGTCTTCCTCTACAGCTACATGGCATATCTCTCTGCTGAGCTCTTCCACCTCTCCGGCATCATGGCGTGAGTTGGGCACGGGTGGGATGAGATGCTCTCCTGTCCCCATGGGCAGGGTACCATTTGGAGGATCTACTTTGGTGTAACCACATCTCTCTGGCCGTCCCAGCATGGCCAGTACATGCCCAGTGAGGGCCAGAGGTGTGTTTGGGCCGGGATATGCAGGAAAGCAGGTGAGGGAAGTGACTCTCTGGAGCTGTCCCACAGATCTCAGGGTGCTGGCAGCCCATTGCCCATTCTCCTGGGCAAGATGATGTGGTTTTGTGCCGCCTGGCTCTGGTGCTGACTCCTGCCCTGCCAGGAGGAAGGAGAAACCTCATGTTACTTTTTCTGGAGGCCTTGAATAATTGCTGGTGCCTCACAAGCCTTGTCCTGCTCTGGAGTTTGGTGTGAGAGCACAAAATGCTGCTGCAGGGACAGGGGATGGGGCTGTCCCCATGTCCTCATGGCTGCTGAGTGCCTCGACCTTGTCCGTAGGCTCATCGCCTCCGGCGTGGTCATGCGGCCCTATGTGGAAGCCAACATCTCCCACAAGTCCCACACCACCATCAAGTATTTCCTTAAGATGTGGAGCAGCGTGAGCGAGACACTCATCTTCATCTTCCTGGGTGTCTCCACCGTGGCTGGTCACCACTACTGGAACTGGACCTTTGTCATCAGCACGCTGCTCTTCTGCCTCATTGCGAGAGTTTTAGGTGAGGTGTGGGTGTGGTGGCACAGTCTTTAGAGACAGTCCTGAGTGATGGGCAACTCTGAGAGCCATGAGGTCCATGTTTGCCTTGCTTGGGAGACTGGAGTTGACTGGGTGGCACTGCTCCACTGTGGGCATCAGCCTGGCTGTGGTTGGCTTTGTGGGGAGATGGGACTGAGGCCAAGTTTGTGCTAGACACAGGGTTGAAGCTGGTGAGGAGTGTTGGGGTGGGCGAGCAGGACAGCACCCACCTGCACCCATGGCCCTGAGGGGAGACACTGTGCTGGGCTGCAAGCTGGGCTCCTGGTGGAGATCTCTTTGGTGTTGGAGGGAAACCTTTAGCATCTGCTCACATGGGGCCCTGCCCTCCTCCCCTAGGTGTCCTGGTCCTCACCTGGTTCATCAACAAGTTCCGAATTGTGAAGCTGACGCCAAAGGACCAGTTCATCATCGCCTACGGGGGCCTGCGGGGAGCCATCGCCTTCTCCCTCGGTTACCTCCTGGACTATAAGCATTTTGGCATGAGGGACATGTTCCTCACAGCCATCATCACAGTCATCTTCTTCACAGTCTTCGTGCAGGTTGGTGGCACGCAGTTGGTCACAAGAAAGGGGGTTATTCAGTGTGTGTAAAGAGTGAGGAGCATGTCCCCAGCCTCCATCCTTGACACTGTCACTGTCCCCCTTCTCCAAAAGCTCTTGAGGCCACCAAGTGACACTGGCATTGTGGAGCCTTGCGGTTTGGCAGTACTGAACACATCCCACTCCCACCAGTGTGCCTTGGGGAGGATCTAACCCACCTTCCCCATTCTCTAGGGCATGACCATCCGGCCCTTGGTGGACCTGCTGGCCGTGAAGAAGAAGCAGGAGACAAAACGCTCCATCAACGAAGAGATCCACACGCAGGTAACCCGCTGCGCCCGCCCGGCCCTTCCCACACGCCTCTCGTCACCGCCTTAGCCCTCTTCTCTCTCTGCTTCTGCCACCTCCACCGCTGTAACCAGGCGGGTTTACAGAGCAGGAGCTGCCCCTAAATCGGTGCCCAAGGTAAGGGGGGACGGAGCGAGGGCTCTCCCCCGTCTGTGTCGTCCAGTGCCCGCTCCGACTCAGACCTCCCCTGTGCCTGGTAGAACAGCAGCCTGGTTGTGTAGGACCCCCAGCCCTGATGTTGCACCCCCTGAGTGCCCTCACCCCTGTGTCAGCGTGGGTGTCAGGGTGGGGAGAGGGTGAGCACCAGCCTTGCGAGCTGCCCATGCCCTGGACCTTCTCTTCCAGTTCTTGGATCACCTTCTGACAGGGATCGAGGATATCTGCGGTCACTATGGGCATCACCACTGGAAGGACAAGTGAGTGGGGGGGTTTGATGACTTGAGGGACCCCTGAGGAAGATGGGGAAGGGTTGGCATTGTCACCTGGCAGGTTTTCCAGCTCTGTGCCGAGGTTTTTCCCTGGGCTGTAACAGCTACACACAGGGATGTATTACATGATGAATTACAGCCCTGGGTTGGGTGGGAGTGGGGCTGCAGGGCTGCACCCCTTCTCCACACCACTTACAACATGCCCACAGCAGTGTGGGAGCTGCTGGTGGCCAGTCCCTGCAGGAGCTCAGAACCATCCATTGTGGGTGTGAGCAGCTGCTGGGTGTCCCAGAGGCTGCCTGGCTCGGCAGGGAGTTGGGGAAGGTCTGACTTGACCTGTGCTGGTGGGAACTGAACCATCATCTGCTGGCCTGGGCCAAGAATGAGGAGCAGAGAGTGGGTGGCAGGGCAAGGGGAGGTCTGATCTGTCACTGATCTGTCACTGCTCCTCCTTTCCCCACGTCCCTGGGAAGGCTGAATCGCTTCAACAAGAAGTACGTGAAGAAGTGCCTGATTGCGGGGGAGCGCTCCAAGGAGCCCCAGCTCATCGCTTTCTATCACAAGATGGAGATGAAGCAGGCGATCGAGCTGGTGGAGAGTGGGGGCATAGGCAAGATCCCCTCCGCTGTCTCCACCGTCTCCATCCAGTGAGTTCCCCGGTGCTGGCCACCCTGTGCTTCCCACAGGCCCCTGGCGTAGGCTAAGCGCTCCCAGCTAGTGGCCACAGGGCAAGCAGCCATTTGGTCCTGCAGTGGCCATGGCAGCGTCATTCTGAACCCTCTCTGTCCTCTCAGGAACATCAACCCCAAGACCCTCCCTGTGGAGCGCATCCTTCCAGCCCTGTCCAAGGACAAGGAGGAGGAGATCCGGAAAATCCTTCGCAACAACCTGCAGAAAACCAGGCAGAGGGTAAGGTGTCCCCTGGCACCATGCAAGTCTCCTTTGCTTCCCTGGGGGGTGACCAGGACCACTTCCAACCAGGAGCTCTCAGAACCAGCTGAGCCCTTCACCCCCGATGTCCCTGCCCTGTTGTCACTTGTGTTCCTGGTCTGGCTGTCCCTCCCCAGGAGGCTTTTCCTCCTGGGATGGTGCTGGGATAGCGCTGAGGGGGGGGGCTGGCTTGATTGTTGGCTGAATCCAACATTTAAACCCTTGCTGGGCCAAAGTGGGTCAAGATCAGAAATCCCATGGTAGCACACAAGGGACGAGCCACCAGTTTGCCTGGACGTGTTCTGCCCACTGGTGGCTGTTTCCCCCATCTCCAAGGGAAGTGGTGCCTCCTGTGACTTTCCTTTGCCTTTCTCTGTGTGTTGGGGTTTTTTTTAACCCATTTCCTTTTCTTGGGGCCTTTTCCCAGTTGCGATCCTACAACCGGCACACGCTGGTGGCCGACCCCTACGAGGAAGCCTGGAACCAGATGCTCCTGCGGAGGCAGAAGGCCCGGCAGCTGGAACAGAAGGTGTCAAGGGGACACTGGAGCAGGGATACTGCCACGGGCTGGGGAGGATGGGGGGCTGAGGGGGGCTTCCCAGCCTGGGAAGGACATCGGTGTCCTGCATGGGGAGGGGACTGAGGTTCAGATTTTGGTGGGGGACCTCAAGCCTTGGATGTCCCTACCCTTTAATCGCCCCAGCACGAGGGCAGGCTCTGAGCAAGTCCTTGCAGCACGGTTGGGAGGATGCATGCAGGTGTCCTCTGCATCCCCCCACTGCTTCTCACTCATCCCCATGACCTGGGGCCAATTCCCTGCCTCCCCTTCCCCATTTATCCCGACACTCCGATGGAGACAATCCCTGTGCTCTGATTCCAGATGAACAACTACCTGACAGTGCCGGCTCACAAGCTGGATTCACCCACCATGTCCCGGGCTCGCATAGGCTCAGGTAGGTGGGACTGAGCTGCTGGGGGAGAGACGCTGCTGGCACCTCACTGGGCATGGCTGGCACTTTGGTACTGAGGTGCTCAGAGGTTGTGTTGTCACAGAATCCCAGAATTGCCTGGATTGGAAAAGCCCTTTAAGCTCATCGAGTCCAACCATGAACCCAACACTGACCAGTCCCCGACTAACCCATGTCCCTCAGCACTGTGTCTACACGACTCTTCAATCCCTCCAGGGATGGGGACTCCACCACTGCCCTGGGCAACCCCTTCCAATGCCTCAGAACCCTTTCAGCAAAGAAATTCTTCCTCACATCCCATCTCAACTGGCCTGGCCACAACTGGAGCCCATTTCCTCTTGTCCTGTCACTTGGTCCTTGGTTGAACAGACCTGCACCCCCTCAGCTCCTCTGCTCCTCTCCAGCCTCAATGGTCCCCGTCCCACTCCCCCGTGTGCCCCGGGGTTTGCTGTTCTTGAGACCAAGCTCTGCTGCGTGCAGCCTGGGCACACGGTGGGCTCTCCCTGAGCAGAAGTGTCCAGCTCACTTCCCAGCGTGGTTCCCACCAGGAGGTCAGCTTGGCTGGTCAGTAGATCTGCCCAGAGCTCAGCTCACTCCACACAACCACATTTCTGGCTGTGTCTGTCCCTGCCCTCTGCGGAGGAGAGGACCAGGACCAGGACTGCTCAACTTCAAGACCTGCCCTTGGACTCCTGGCTTCTGCAGCACCCATTTGCTCTGCCATCTTGGTTTCCTGATGTCCCGTGTGTCCTTCCCTGCCTTGGGGACAGTGTGACAGGGTGTGATGCCGCTGCTGGCGCTTGCGGAGCCGGTGGTTAATCGGCAGAGGGCAGCTTTGCCTCTTGCAAACCACACAGTCCTGGGAAGCAGGGCTGGGCTGGCTGGAGCTGCTCCAGGTGGGATGAGGAAATCAGCAAAAGGAATTAAACAGCAGGGTTGGGAATTAGAGAGAGAACGAGCCCAGGCATCCCAGCCCCACACATCTGGGGTGCATTAACTGGGGATCCTCGACACTCTCCCTTCCCTTCCCCAGTTTATCCTGTCCCAGTTTGCTCGTGATGCTGTGAGGTGGGCTCTGCCTGACCCCTCTCTTCCCCCCCAGACCCTCTGGCCTACGAACCCAAGCCGGACTCGGAGAACCTGCCCATCATCACCATCGACCCAGCCTCCCCGCAGTCCCCGGAGTCTGTGGACCTGATGAACGAGGAGCCCAAGGGCTGCGGTGGCCTCCCACCCTCACCCGAGGAGGATGAGGAGGGGCTGGTGATGCGGGTGAAGGAGCCTTCCTCCCCCGGTACCGACGATGTCTTCACCCCGGGGACTGGTGACAGCCCCAGCAACCAGCGGATGCTGCGATGTCTGAGCGACCCGGGGCCTCGGCCGGAGCCGGAGGAGGGGGAACCCTTCATCCCCAAGGGGCAGTAGCAGCTGACAGGCGAAGCCTCCCACCGTGCTCCGTGCAGTTTCTCTCTCCCTTCATTTGTTCTCCTTTCTTTGCTCTCCTTTTTTTCTTTTCTGGTTTCCTCTCTCACTACACACTGGGCTCGGGAAGGGGAAGA